ACAGGCAGCTCTCCATGACTGTTCTRTCCAAAGTAGGGACACATTCCCTATGTTCATTGTTATTGTGGACCTTCTGTTAGAAACAGTAGCAGTTGCTTCGTGACAAATTTGCCTCAGAGTGTATTAAAAATGTTAGGTTGCGGTAAAGGAAGCAAACGTTCGTACAGGGAAGGAGTGCGGCAGGATAAGTTCATGTAGATCTGTAGTTTGTAAATGTCTTTAGGCAGCCTCTTGATCTGTGGCAGAGTTTATCTTCATCCAGTGTCTATACTGTAATGATCAGCTTGCTGTTTAAAGCCATCATAAATGTCTCAGGTTGAAGTCTCAGGATATTTAAGTCTCTCTGTTGAGTGGAAAACTACTCAATGTGGTAAACTGGGAGAAAATCAAACAAAAACATGTATAAAATCAGTACATAAAACATGCACGTATTTCCCCACACTGTCTAAAATATTYTTGTTCCCAGTCTGATGTTTCAGCTGTTGAATATAATTAAACTCAAAAGATAAAATGTGTTTTTCTAACAGAGTGTTGTCTTCCTGCAGTAAGTGTGTTTGTGTTCGTGGGTGTGGGATCTGCTGCGGCGGCCGGAGCTGATGTGTCCCTCAAGTCTTTCAGAGGCTGTCGTCATTCCTCCTGTATTTTGGTCAGTAGTGCATGATGTCACTTCCTGCGCTCTGATCCTCCGTGTGTGTTTGTGAGCCCAGCTGCACCGTCTGTCGCAGAAAAACACCAAAGGAAGCACATCAAGGATAAACATCATTACGGAAACCTGACTCATGGCACCTTCGGTTTTAGGAGATTATTGTTAGGATTTTCATGCAGCACCGACCAAAAGTTCTGATGCGTAAAATTCAAATGTTTTTCTGATTTTAATGAACTCGTTGATGACTCCTCTCTCCTCCGTTTCTCTCTCGACCGTCCCTTCTCGTTAATTTGACCCTGTTTCAGAGTCTGTGGTTGGCAGGCCGGCTGCTCGGACACGTGGTTCATTGACTGGAAAGATCTGGCAACACTTTCTCCTTTTCCCCTCTCACACCATTTATTATCTGCGCCGAGAGACTCCCAGGACCCAGAAACTTGTGCTCGCGTGAACGCTGACATACTTAACTCCGGCCGAGACAGAGCTCGCACACAGACRAACATAAGCAGCGCTCTTCCTCTCAGTGTGAGAACTTCTGCGAGGTCTCGTCACCCGAGTCACACAGATGTTCCTCTTGGCACCTCAGCAGGTTGTGGCGGGGCGGCTCGGGGGGCCTTTCTGGGATCTGGGGTGGGGTGGAGTGGCGGTGGTGGTGGTGGTGGGGGGGCAAACGGGGCCCCAGAGCCTGGATGAGAGCTTCCTTTGTGGGACACAAAGCATTGTCTGTGCTGGGAAAGGCCGTGGGGATGGGAACACCGCCCAGAGCTGGACACTGAGCGGCGATTCTAGCTTTCCGTGAGTGAGTGTTTATGTGCGGCTGGAAGACAACTGTGGAGTCTGAGTGTGGGAGAGGGAAAGAGAAAGTGTTTGCTCACTTATCTAATGTGTGTGTGTGCGTTTGTAAAGGTGAAAGAGCAGTTGGAAGCGCAACGTAAAAGCGCCTCACTGGTCTTCTCTTTCCAGGTCTCATCAATAAAAGCTGTTTTACCGTCCAAACCTTGGATCTTTGTACAATAACCCATGACAGTTACGCTGTTATTTATGCAAAACTTTATGGTTGTTAGGATGCCAATACTAATAATAGTTTGGCATGCTGCATGACAAAAACAATATTTGCAAAACCAGTGGAGGTCAATGGGATTTTGGTGAAACAGATGAGAAARCCCATCACTATCGAATCATCATCCAAAGTTTAAACAGAGCTGGACCTCACACTTCCTAACTTGATATCTTTAGGTAAGGTAGTAAGGTTTATATATA